CCCCCCCCCCCCCCAATCCTGCCCCTCCTCTCGCTTCTCTACCCGCCCGACCCGGCTCACTCCTTCCCAGTCCCGGCCCTCCTCTCCGAGTCCCGTTTTCCCACTCCCGCGCTCCTCAGCCCGGCTCACCCCGGTCTCGCAGAAGGTGTCACCTCCTGGAGGCCGGCGATGCTTGTAAGCCCGAACTCTGTCTCCTGGTCTGAAAGGGGGAAGGGGCGTCTCTCGGCGCCCCCTCGGCTGTCCGCGTCTAGGAGTCCCCAGCGCAAAAGGCCGCAGCTTCTGAGGCAGACGAAGGAAGACCTCGTGTGCGCCCCATCCTGGGGGAACTTCTTTGCCAAACATAAATGAATTAACCTTTATTTGAGAAAAGCTCATCGGGTTCTCTTTCTCACAAATCATTTATTTATTCAGCTGGCACACTTTTCTGGGGCTTCTCCCTGGCCAGAGGGTCTGGGGCCTGTAGATGGAACGTGGGCAGGGGAGCCGGGGGCCAGGGACTCCAGGTGTTAGAGCCCCTACCTGATGGAGACATAAGGCAAACCCTTGCATAACTACATTAGCTAGGAGACACATTAAAAAGAGCAAAAAGAAACAAGCATATAAAAACAATACGTTTTGTTTAACCCAATATATCCAAAATATTATTTCAGCATATGCAAGCAACTGTGAATGACATATCTTACACTCTTCTGTGTGTGTACATTTTATCCTTAGAGCAGGAGTCAGTGCGGACTGGCCTCATCTCCAAGGGTGGCTGTGGCATTGCCCAGCCCAGCGTTAGGGGGTGTAGGGGGGAGGGTAGTGATCAGTAATTAAGATCAGGGAGCTACAGGGGCTTTGTTGGAAGCGAAGTGAAGGGTGAAACAGAGATGGACCCCGGTCAGGGATGCCTCTGAGGCGACACACATTTAGGCTGAAACCTACCTAAAGTGCAGGAAGTCCTGCAGACACAAGGGAAGAGAGCATCAGGCAGAGGGAACAGCCAGTGCAAAGGTCCTGTGGTGGGGCTCAGCTGACCTGCTCTAGGGACAGGAAGCAAAGCGGCTGGTGTTTAAGCAGGGAAGGGGTATGACCTGGAATCTCACCCTGGCAGCTGTATGCACCCTACTGTGGGTGGGGGATGCAGGTGGAGGGGTGAGGATGACCCTTACCTGGCCAGTGGGGGAGGGGCAGCTGCTTGAACCCTCAGGGAGGTGCATGTCTGGCTCTGGTCTTCTGTCCACTGCTTGGAAACCTTTCTTGATTTTTAAAAATCAACTTGAATGAGGTATGGTGCCCATACAATTAATGCCTCATTTTATGTGTCCAGACTGAGGAATTTTAGCACATGCATACACCAGTAGTGCTGCCCCACCAAGCTCTAGAACATTTCCTCCTGCCTCCCTGTGGTCAATCCTGTGCACGCCCCTGGCTCTGGGTGATGCACACATCTGTCTCTGTGGACTAGGGCTTTGCCTTTTTTTGAACTTTCTGCAAATGGCCTCATGCAGTGTGCGCATCTGGGTTTTGAGCATCATGTTTGAGCCTCCTCTATTGTTCGGTTAACCTAATTATTGGTTCTGTTTCTCCCCGGACTGAGAGGACGTGGCCAGCTGGGTACTGTGTGGGCTACCAGACCCTCCAGCCCAGGACCATGCAGGTCTGGGCCTGAGCATGGCCCTGGGAGTGGAGGGGAAGGCTATTCTCTTACCTGCACCCTGTGTGCCTGAAGGTGGCCCAGTGACCGATGACCTATGGAGATGGTGGCAGAAACACCAGGAGGCCTCTGGGCCCTTGGAGCAAACACAGAGGAACTCTCCCGGGAGTGGTCAAGGCATCAAGGCATCATCCTAGAGCCGCTGTGGCCTTGGGGCTGCAGCAGCAGGGAGCCGGCATGGAACCCTGAATGATATCAGTAATGAATATTCACGTTCAGTGTTTCTGAGACCCTGTTGCCTGAGGCCCAGTTATAACTGTAGGGGCAAGAAATGTTTCCTTCTAGGAAATGTACCCTTCTAGGTTCTTTGGCTGGTCTAATAATTAAATTGCCATAAGACAGATTAACAGGAGAAAAATAAATTTAACTGTATACATTTAGGAGCCCCACAAAGATGCGCCACAAAGGCAGTCAGGTAATTGAAGCTTGTAAGCCTCCCTGATCTAAGGAATGAGGGCCTGGGGCTTTAAATGGAGCCGATGGGACTCACAGGAAGATGAGAGGACGAGATGCTTGAGGATCAGATGTCAGCCCTACCACACAGATGGCTCTTTAAGATAAAAACATGTCTCTGGTAGGTCTCTCTGTCCAGTATCTAAATTTCTTGAGGCAGTTAGGAGGAGGTAAAAGTTTTTCCTGAGGCTGCTGCGTCTTGACTGCCTTCAGCTCTAAATATTCCACATGCCAAAGTGGCACATTTAGGGGTGGCATCTTCTGCGCTCTCCCCCCACCCCAGTCTCTCCCTGCTCTGACTCAGGAGCCTCTAGGTAAGTCATGGCACCCACTAGGTGCAGCAGGGATGCCTTTGCAGTGCGATGAGAGAGAAGAGGTGCTTTCTCAGTGAACTAGAAGAGAGGGACTAGATCAGTCCCTGCCCTCCACAGAGCAGGGCAGAGTGGACTGCCCCGGCCAGCACTTCTGAGCGGCATGACTGTTTCTTAAGGGCAGGGACTGATCCTCACTGGGGTTTCCCACCACACTGGGCAGCTGGAGCTGCAGCCTCAGAAGGTGTGCTGTGCAGAGACCGGCGGGGTCCTCCCGTCCGTCATCACAGAGGAGGTGCGGGGCAGCAGAGAATGGGAGCACGGTGGTGGGTTTGAGCCTGTTGGGGTGGCCTGAACGGTGACACGTGCGGCTGGAGGTTGATTACACTGGCAGTAGGCGTCTTGGTACAGCGACATCTCCAATCCTAGCACAGAGTGCCCATGGGAGCCACCGGAGCAGCCTGCAGGACAGTCGGAGGGATAAGGAGGGAAGGCCAGGATGAGGCCGGGCCTATGCTGCAGCTGTGTGGATGATCTTGGCAAATGTCACAAGTCTGGTGAGGCCGGCCACTTTGTTAACTGTAGGGTCTGGGGGTCAGAAACACAGGAATGGCCAGGCTTCAGTGGGATGTGTAAGCACGGTGAAAAATGACAGAGCAGCCCAAGCCCTGGTTTCTGGGGCCTGCAGCTCCTGGGATAAGGAACCCAGAAAGAAACAGTGAACTCAAGGTGAGGCACGGGGTTCCGGCACCCACCCACCGAGTGCAGCATGGAGGGGGCACGTCTGCCCAGGAGGTGAATGTGTTTCCCTTCTGCCAGGTGAAGAGCAAACCACCCATATGTTTCCACAAGGCTGCGTGTGTGTCTGCTGATCTCATGATCTGAATTAGCAGAGTGAGAATTTAAAGTGAGGGAGTGACAGGAGTTCTCGAACTCAATAAACAATAATAAGTGAATATTAAGTAATACTTAAATAAATAAATGACCAAGCACATAAAACATCCCCCAAAGTGGTAAGTGGTCACATCAAGTGGCCAAGAGTTGAGATTCTGAACACTAGGGCTTTGAGCAATTAAAACTTTGTGTCCACAATGGTAGCTTAGACCAAGCAAGTCGTAGGTTTTTGTGACATCTTAACACGGAAAGATTAGGAACCTCTCTTATGGGAGGCACGGGGTTCTCTGGGGTTGAGCCCTGAGGTCCCTTACACACACCTTCCCCCTGTGCCCCTTTCCCACCCCCACTTGGGGAGACATGGAGATGCTTCTGCACCGTGTGCCTGTGTGGGCAAAGCATTCAGGGCTCTGCTAGGAATTGATGCCATGGCAATGGCGCACCGGGATGCTCAAGGTAAAGGCTGTTGGCAGCCCCCATAGAAGAGGCCAGAGTGAGCGCAGTGGCCTATAGCTGTTTTGCACTTAACGGGCGAGCAGAGAATCCTCTGGAAGCTTGTGTTCAGGTCCACGTGGAAAGGGCCCTCCTCACCTTGTGTTGTCAATTACCATGTATCCTCTCAAGCGGCACATTTACCAGAGCAGCTCCCACGTGCGGGGAAAGCAGCACAGCCTGGGGTGTCGGGGGAGGGAAAGGGCATCCGGGGACCAGGGCGGGTGCCTGTGCATCGTCTCCCATGCCCTCCGTCTCTCTGGGCCTCAGTCCAGCCACGAGGAAAGCAGCGTGGCTCTGAGCTGGGTTTAGCAATCCCCTTGGCGCTTCTGGATGGTCAGCGTTTCCTTTCCAGATCCTCGGTGTGGTCACTGCTTGACTTCCCTCCGGGTGTTTGTGCAGCCTAGTTCCTTTAGCCATCTGCAGCGGGGCGGCCCGTGAAAGCTGGCACCCTGGGTGCTGGAGCTGGCACTCCCTGCCCCCTCCAAGGTGCCCCTGCCCCCCTTCCTGCCAGGCTCAGAGGACAAGTGTTGGAATAATATTTCTTTCACACTAGAAGCCAGGCAGGCTGTGCTCTGCCCGACCCCAGGTTTTGCCTGGAACGTGGTGAAAATACTCTTGCCAAGTCTGGGCCTATGAGATTGGGGAGAACCAAAAAAGGGAGAGGAAAGAGAGGCAGAAGGGGGGTGGGTGCAGGGGAGGAGGGGGATGCATTTCCCTTGACATTTTATTATGGAAATTTTCAAACATGCAACCAAGTTAGAAGGATTTCATCGAAAACACCCATATACTCACCACCCAGATTCTACCACTAATACTGCATCTTACTTTGTCACGTTGTCTGTCCACCTGTCC